GTTGAAGTTGATTTCCTTGCCAATCCATCCGCTCTTGGCCTGCCCTCTCCTCTGCCCTGTGTCCTTTGCTTGCCCTCTGCTCTCTTGTGTCGTTTTCCTGCCCCTAAATAAGCTTAAATTGATTCGATTACACTGGGGAAATAAATGGCTTGCAAGTGCCATCAATAGCAAACAGTGTTAACACAGACAAGAAAATTGCTGAAGCATATTTTTATAATTTAGTTTTAGAGAAAAATATAGCATATTTTTTTAAAATAATTTATTTAAAATACTATATGTAGATTATATCCATAGCTTGCACTTTTATATTGATGAAGTTCAGGTTGTCACAACCTTATTGGAAAATTTTATATTGTAGATAACACATTTTAACATTAATAAGTTTTCCTTTTTCATTACTTTCCTTTATTGAATTTGTTGCCGCCTCCTCGCTGAGAGAGACAGGTCTTCAATTGCATTATAAGTTTAGAATATTTCAATATTTTTCTTAGGATTAGATTACAAGGCTGCTCTAACTACATTGTAAGGTCCTGGTTTCGCTATTGTCCTCGCTTCCTGCCTTCCTTTTCGTTTGCTCATGCGTATGTTTCATTCATTCATTGATTTCAGCTCCAGGACCCTCTCTCTACTCGCGATTCTCCCCAGGACTCCCCTATTTCGCTCTCTCTCTCTTTTTGTGCTCCCAGTCCTGTCCCGTTTCTCATTCCCCGGGTTTTGGTACACACCCTGTTTGAGTCGGCACTACGCAATTCTATCCTTGTTGTTATTTTTCGGTCTGCTGCTGTTGCTGCTGCTGACGCAAAGTGTCCTGTCACACCCACACAAAAAAAGCTAAGTAAATACACTAATACATATAAATGTATATGTACACACACCCCCACAATGAGCTTTGTGTTGTCCTACATTTTCTGTACTTTAAGGACTTACCGAACCGAGCGATGGCATAATTTCACTTCCCTTTTGAACTCTATTTCCCTTTATTCCTTTATATATTCCTGTATTAAGGGTATTTCACTCAATTGATGTATTGTATATATTAAAAAATATATATTTTTTATTTATATGTACTTAAGAAAAGTAAAATTAAAGATTTCCTTCGCTTAAGTATATAATAAAAAAAAATAATAATACATTTATTATTAAAAGCAAGAGAATCCTGACTTCGTCTAGTCCGAACTAGCCAGCTTTTCAGCTGAAATTGACACAGTTTTCATTGGGAGGAAATGGGTTTTGAAAGGACTTAGGGGTGTTTAGGGGTGGCGCGAGGCGAGAAGAAGGATCTGGCCTAAGTCAATGCACTTTCAAGGCATTTTCGAGGATTTTTCATGTGGAATGCTGACAGCTGCTTGGCCTAGTTAGAAAGCGTTTTCGCATGGCTTCGAAGGGTTCCTCAGGTATGGCTTAAAAGTCGGTCTGCCCCCTCATATCGTATGCAAATTCCTCTCAAGTGGGAGGTCTCTTGTCGGTTGCCTTCACTGGCGCTATATTTGGGCCCCCAAACAGTCGACCTAGTTATTTCAAAGCTGTCATTTATTTAGACGCTAATTAATTTCAGAATAAATGGAACTTTGATAACTATTTCTACATAGGCAGGGGAATATAATTAAGGTTTGCCTTGGAGAGCATAAGAGAAACGCTAACCGCTAGCACTAATTGGCTAAAAAAGTACAAAAAAATATTAAAAATACTTAAAATTCATTAGTTATATCTTATAATCTATTAAATATTGAATATATTTGGTATTATGTCATATACTCTGTATATTGCTCTCGTATAAAATATAATCTTCTAATTAGGTATTTGAAGTGTGAAAAGGGACTTAATTCTACTTATGGGTGTTTGACTTCATTATTTTCATTATCTTTTCCGCTCTTTCAAGGAGTTCCTATTGTTACCCACTTTATTTCTTGCAATCTAACAAGGTCCCGCGCTCGCTTATCAAGCAGGGATTAACTTTTGCTTCCCCCTTTGTCAAAACGAACAGAAAACACGAAATGAAATATTTACACAGCTAGCTAGAAGCTAATAACTTCGGTGAACTTTGGCGTGGTGGAAAATTACTTGGAAACCTCAAAAGTTTCCCCTCTTCGCTAACTGACGCAAATTGCACCGAGAATAAACGTGTCGAGAGTCGGATTGAATTGGATCGAATTAAGTCCCGACTTGACCCCCACAATGGTTGCACTTGCGTCACCAAATAACCACCACCCACAAATCCACGTAATAGTTTCGGCATTACATGGGCCTCGGGGTCTGTTAACCCATGATGGTGGCCAGTGATTAGTAACGAAAAAGCTAAATACCCGATTTAAGTGAATTCCCAGCTAATTTCGAGTATTTTTCTCGGCTATTTTCGGACTTTAATTGAGTTGTTTTGGTTTCGCTTATTTTGGCTGACAATTGCCAAAGGCTAAAGTCGTGTTTAATTTGTGAAATTTGGTAATTGAACGAGGAATGGTATACAAAATAAATAGAAAACTGATTTTATTATGGAGTATTTTGTATTATGATAAAAAATTAAAGAATATTGTTAAAAACTTTACTATTAAAAGATTATCTTCTATATATTTAAACATTTTTTGTTTGTTTTACTTCTACTACCCACTAAAGCTGTGAAAACCAGGTACATTTTTGGTTCATTTCGACCTCCGGCCTGTCAGTAATTTCGTACGATTTTTCCTCCAATTTTTCCAGCTTCTTTTGGGTTGACATCTCGCGACACCGACATGACATCGTGTTGGCTCATTAGCATAAACGTTTTAATTAGTTGTGTTGGTCCCGGGTAACGTTAATCGATTCGGTGCTGTGCCAAAACATTATGTTTTCTCGGGGCTAAGCTGAGTTTAGTTGAGTTAGCCATTGTAAACTGTCCAATTGAATTCAATTGAGTGGCGTTCTGTTTGATTTCATTAGCGCAAATTGGGTGCATTATAACATTTAGATAACGTTCTCAAGTCCGGAGGCAGCAAACGGCAAACAAACAAGCAAACGAGCAGCTCGACTGCAGTGTAAACGATTGTTAATAACTTTATATACAAGTCCAAACGATACCTGCCTGTCGCCTCTATTTGTATAAAGCCGCTGCCTGCTGACGACGTAACCCGAGGCACCTTGAAAAAAACTAGACGTAGCATAATATTGACATACATATGAAAATTGCACATTACCAATATTGCAACGAAACGCAGTGAATCGCCATAACTTGAGCCGAGTTGAGTTGAGTTGACTGGAGTGAAGTACATCTGAAATACAACTGTTTGGCCAATTAACGTGGCTTAAGTGCCCCGGTATTTGTTCTGTGGGGAAAGGGCGGAGCTATTTGCTGAGAGGCCAACTTTGCGATTCGAGTAGGTGAAAAGGGATTTCTTGTCGAGTATTCCGAAACTTATATTTTTGGTTGTTAGACCATATTACTTTATTCAATTTCAAATATAAATCATTGTTTTTTAATCAAATTCATCTCATTTGATACAAAAGTTGTTTGCGGTTCTTTTTGATCCTACATTGTAGCTATATTGTAGCGTTTTCCCCGCTTTATGTTTGCAGATAATAGCCACACATTCCATATTAATTATAAGACACTTCAGTCAAAACTTTTCTTATCTGCTGTTGGCCAAACACAGTTTGCTTTGAAACTGCCATAGATACAACTTGTCTGGGCCACAAATCCGATTGACGGCACCTGTTTTCCTCCTCTCTCTGCTTCCTTGGCTCTGTGGCCAGGTAAAAAGTCCGACACCTTCTATCGGACAGCCAATCAAGCAAACGCAGCGATCTATCAGACCTGTCCGTCGGTCCCGTCCGTGTCTCTCTCTCTATTATAAGCGACGTCCGACCCTCGTAGGCCCCCGTAAAGCCCCCTGAAATGTGGTTCTGGCTGCAGTTGACAGGCGAAATCATTAAGAGTGTCAAAAGGAAAATGAGAAATAAAAACACAAGTAAAAATAATAGAAGTGTCTGCCGGTTGTTTCTGCTTTTGTTTGGGTTTCGATGCGTGCCCGGAATATTGTTGGAAAATTTGCAATTCAATTTAGTTTTTTTTTATTTAGTTGTCTCTCATTTTCCGCCAACTTTGAAGCCCCATTTGGCATGCGAATTGTGAGAAAAACAGAACGAAATATGTGAGTAATTTTTGGGGTAAAGTAAGGGAGAGAAAAACCACTTAAGATAAATAGCTAGACTTTTAGGTTGTCGGAAAGGAGAGAATAAAGCAGTTGAATGTTAAGTATACGCCGCGTGTGGCAACGCTTGATTAGGCTAAATGAGTTGGTTGGCTTAAGGTGATTATTAACAATGGGAGTGCCTGCCATCTTAGGTTGTAAAAGGTCTAGGGAGTTGAGAAAATTTTTCTTGCTAATTTCCCCATTCCATTTAACTGTCCGTTTTCTTCGCTTTAAATGGTACTTTTAATTTAATTTATATTTCTGCTCTTTTTTGTTGTTTCTATTTGATTTATTTCAACGAAGTTCTGCCAAATACCCAGGATACTTTTATGAACTTTTAAATAAATTGTTTAGCAACTCTTTGTATATTATAAGTGCGATTGTTTATAGCCGAGCGAAATATTTGCGCCGGTTTATTATTTTTTTCGATTTCTGTTTGGTTTAATTAGAAATCAAACCGGCTGCTGCTGTTGGTAATCACAAATACCCTCAAAAAACGTTGGCAAAAGTCAGATCTTATATATGCGTGCGATTTTATATACATACAAATATATATTTAAATCTGGCCAGTTCGCTTTTTATAGCTGGACCCGAATTAATGAACGAACCAAGTATTTTATGGGGGAACGGCGCCTTTGGCATTATCTATATTTTTGAATGGGTCATGTCATTGAACTGACATGGAATCCGATTCAAAGGATTGCTTTCCATATGCCATCGCTGCTATCTTGCCGATTGATGTTGATTGACTACCCACCCGCCCGAGTTGTTTGTTTGTGCTGTTTGAAACAATACGAGAATAATAAACAAATTTCCCCTTTCTTTATCTCATTGCAGACTTTGAAAAGCCGCCATATTCTTCGATTTGATTATCACACAGCTATGCCCTTGCAGTGTTCGTGCTAAATCGTTTACTATAATGAATTCCGCGCGGCATCATCGTATTGGAGTGTTTCTGTCTCCATAAGTTGGCCACCAGTCACGACGTCACACTAAATCTAAACAACAAGATATCTAACAAAACGCCATTTAAACAAGGCTCGCAAATTGATTCCCACGCAACGGAAACGGAAGGCAACGCTCTGCAAAATAAAAGCCATCTAGTCAAACGGAAACATCGAAGGAAACGCACCATACAACAGCTGCCCGGCGTGAAGTGAGTGCTCAAGTGGAAACGCAGACCCAAGACCCAGATCAAAACTTGACAGCCGAAAGGACCCCAAGAGTGACCGCAAAACTGGCTAAGAAGATGCCATACCACCGCGGAGGAGATGCCTCCTCGCAGGCTGACAAGCTGAGCGGTATCGTGGAGGAGAGCGACCTGTATGAGGGGTTTGCTCCTCACGTTGAGACTTCGGGAATCAAAACCCTTGACTTTTACAATCTACCAAAGCCCACTGGTGAGTACATCTATTATTTAAAGTAGATTTATGAAAGGTAAAATTACCTTAAATATTAAAAGAGTTTCATTTTTACTTTAAAAGTTTTGTAAACTTTTTGTCAAGTAAAGTTAGTCAGCAGAACCAATCGCATTTTATAAGAAATGATTAGTTAAATGTCTGTTTAATTTTATTGATTGATTTTAAGCTTTTTATTTGTTAAATAAACTGGCTGTTGATTCTAGGTCAAGTCCGCTGATTTAATCCATATAAATCTATATTCATTTCTCAGCAAATGGATCTTTAATATTATTGGTAGTTGAATTTCTACTTGGGACAATTATCTACATAATTTTTAAAGACTATATGACAGCATTTTTCATTCTTAGTATTTCTTTTATTCTGTTTACCATTTTTCTGTGAAATATATAAATCACAAAGGATGCAAATAAACAAAATAAATTTAAACAAGAGCAGATTCTCATAAATATACGGTACAAAGCAAATACCGGCGAACAAGTGATTAAAATGAAATGATCAGCAGAAGTAAGTAGGATAGTAGGATTGAAAAATTAAAGTAAAATCTCTGCGCTGACTTTAATGAGTTTTCACATAAAAGATCAGATGATTTACCCAGGCCATTCCGTAGCATATGCTTCATTCATTGAGTGGGAAATTTTAATTTATGCAGTATTTGTTTGCTTTTTATATTTCGTTTCGTACAAAATACCTTAATCAATAAACAGGCCGAGATCGGTCGAGTGAGAACCAAAAGTAAACACTAAAATAAATTAATTATAGGTATTTAGAAAATAATCATGGCGTTACGCCTTGCCATTCTGACCCCCGTCCGTGCAAAACACGATTCTAGTATATTTCTCACTGGATATTTTTCAGTGACTGCTGGCTGCTGCATATACATTTTTGTTGGGCTATTACTGCACGCAACCGTGAAATGAAATAAAATAAAAATATATTTGTATTTATTTAAGAAAAACCCGACGGCAACTGTCTGTCAAATTAATGCAATGGCTATGTGTAAACATTGCCACAGCAGCAATTTTCTTATTTAAATTCGATTCGTACACACAAATGCAACGGAAAAAAGGTTAATAAAAAGCTGGTATTGATTTTCTTTATGCAGAAGGTTTGAATTGCTAAAAAAATATATATATTTACTTATAAACTCCCACTAAATGCTGTAATATGTCGTTTTATCGAGTGTGCCACTTTTCCTGCCCTTCTCTTCAAGTTTTGTTTGTATTATTTCGTTTTCATTCGAAAATGGAACTCTTTGTAAATTTGTTTATTTCCATTAAAAGTGAAAATTGCAATTTACATACGAGTTTTACAACGAATTTTTCCCCTTACTTGTTTTTCTTTCGTGGAACTCAAATTGCGCCTTGGTAAAGGAATACAAAAAATGAAAATTGTATATAAAATCTAATCCAGATTGTTGGCAAAAAACGTTTGCCAATTTTTAATTGCGTCTTATGATTAGAACAAATTGGTTGTTGCAAATGGCCAAATGGCAATTTCGATTTATTTCAATGTGGCATCAAAAGCAATTGCATTTTACAGCATTATATAATTGATTTGAGCCGCCAGAGGGAGGGCAGAAATATTTCTATATCGAATTTGTTGTGTGCGATAATTTTGTAAAATTTTACTTTGATTTCCAACTTTACTAGCAGCTCTCGCTGTCTGTCAGAATGGCAAAAACCAAAAGCCACTAAATGTTATTTCGATTCCAAAGGCAATCGGGCGATGCGATTCAATCGAAACATTAGTGCATCATCACCCCCACCAACGACATTGGCCTTGATTTTGATTTACAAAATAATGAGTCTTGTGCGGGAAAATCCATTAAATGCATTTGGATAAAACCCATGTCTATATATAGGAGTCATCGCCACCACCTTGTTGGTTTTTCCCCTCCGGAAAAAATACGTAAAATTGACTGAAATTGAAAAATAAAAATAATATACAGTTTGAATATTTTACTATATTCCATTTATAAGTGCTGAATATTCGTTTAACATAATGAATTCAGAGTATAGAATTCTTCTGGCCTGCGCTGCTGTTGTGGGAAACGCAAACAAATAAAAACATTCACGTTTTTATGGCACTTGGCTAGCGGCCAATTAATTTGTTTAAAAATAAATGCAATTTTTTCATCACTCTCGTGCCTGTGGCTGTTTCTTCAACTGCTTATGTTTCGCCATGATTTTTTTTCGTGTGTAATATTTTGCGTGTTGATAAAAGTTATTTGATTTGAATCAGCTGCTGATCATGTGATTAAATTTTAGATGCTATATCAGCGAACGAGAACGACAAAATTTATGAGGAGAAGGATGCTTAGATATTTTTATGGAATTTATGTTATAGCTTTATCTGTGAAGCACATAATTTTAGTATAGAAAGTGGCTAAAATAAACCAATTTTTATCAGTAAATATTATTTGTCAGAGGCCAAACTGATTTGAATTGTTTTAACCAAAGCAAGTCTCAGATTTTAATGAACCTAACAATATTAATAAACCCTAATAATAATAATTTTTTATATGATATATATTTTTGGGGAATTTTCTGTGTCATAGAACTGGCCACGTGCCATCCTAAAAACAGATAGTATACCCGAAATATTAAAATAGCAAGCAAAAATTCGAATCTTTATGGCTTAAAATCGAAAATTTATTTGTTGTTAGCAATAACAACATTTTTGCTTACGCAAGCAAATGGAAACAGAATATTTTCCCATTTTTTCTCTCATTTTCTTTTTTTTTTTGTTATTTCTGCCGTTGACGTGCAGCGAACCCAAATTTTGTTTTGCTATTTAATGCCAAATTATGTATTGGCAAAAAATAACAAGAAATACATTCACGAAAAATAAAGAGGGGGAATAAATTTTCATTCAAGAAGAATTTTTTATGATCCACTTGTACGATTGAAAAAGAAAAATTGTTTTCCAACCTAAAAAAAAAAAAAAAAAAAAAAAACCAAAGAATTTTATTTATTTCAAATAGAAAATTTTCCGCTGATCAGGCGATCGTTGCTATAAATATATATGATTTTTTACCGATACGCCCAATAATGGATGCCTCAGTTTTGTGTGGCACACGACCCCTCAATTTCTTTTGGCTTTTCTCACGTGCCTCGGGAAAATGTGCGAAAAGTGTGCCCCAAATGAATCTCTAAAATTCTGTAACTGACTTAAACTGGTTTTTGCGAATTCGCTTTGTTTTATTTTCGGTTTATTTATGTTTGGTATCGTGCTTTGGGTTTCTGTTTTGGTTCTGCCTTTATTTTTAGTTAATTTCTATTTAATTTGTTTTCAAGAGGATTCTCTCGGTTATTTGATGGGATTGCAATTTGCAAATCTCTTATATAAGTCACTCATTCGCATATTTTATAGTCAGTAAATTTTATGGGATTTTTTCTGTTGTGTTCTTTGTGAATATACATTTTTGATATATAATTCATTGGAATTCTTATTTTGTATTTATTTATTTCTTGTATTTTCATTTCTTTTGACCGCTTTGACCGCTGTCCCAGAATGAAAGTAAAATTTATAAATATATTTTATAAGAAAAAACCCCCTAAAAGTTTTCTGGGAGTTCAACTTTTGGGACAGCCACTTGAGCAAGGTTTTTAAATAAAAGTTTATTCGTGCTTAATTAGATTAACAGAAGTATTCTTTTTAAAGCATTCTGTGAGATCAAGTTTGTCATTTTTTCGCTTTTATACTTTTATTGGGGTGTGAAAAATTAGGTCAGAAATATTTGACACTATGTGGGATAACATTTGATTATTTATTTTTTAAGTTGTCTGCCTTAAATTGTATTATTTACTAAGCCTAGTAATTATGAGAGGTATTTCATGTTCCATGATCCCTTTACTTTTCACTTTATCATATAAGTTCAGTAGATCAAATCTAAAAACCACATCACACGCCCACTTGTCGTTAGTCTTTTGATCTTTGGAGGCATAAAACAATCAACAGCTTTGGCCTGTTGAATATCTCGGGGATTCGGATGATGGACGAGGAGGAGCCAAGTGAAAGGGCGGAGGATTTATTTATTAATGGCACTGTTTGTTTGTCCGCCAGTATTATATCTCTATCACGATACTTTGCGTGACGAGTGATCGTGAATATCTCTCTCAGGCGGTGGTCTCTCCAGTTCTCGATTCCAATTAGGAGCGGGGAAGGTCTTTTAGCGAGCATGGAATATAATTATGAAAAAATACCAATCCGTAAATCACAGGAAAAATGCTAATCTTAATTTCATGTATGAAAGTTTATGTCAAAATATATAGCGTGTAACTGCATTAAAAATAACAAAGAATCTGACTTCTGTTTGAGTTGACTAAGGCTACTGAACTAATGTTTACTAATAAAAAATCCAGCAAATTTATGAATGACTTGAGTCATTAAGTAACCATCAATCGATAAATTGAGTTGAAAGGAAATGTTTAACTTGATTTAATTTGTAATTGAATTTCCTTTAACCTTCTCCCTTTTGTGTTGGCGGCTGGCTTGCTCTTTTGGCCTTTCTGTCAACAGCGGCGCCTGCAATTAGACATATTTATATATCGTGTAATGTACGCAGATATACATATGTATAGTTTTATGTACATACACATATCTTTCTAGGTGCGTCTGTGTTTGAGGTCACTGAGCATTAGAAGAAGCTTTTTCTTTAGCTGTTTTGTTTACATGCTCTTTGATTTTCAAATGCCTACGCTGATAAATTTTAAAAATAGCAAACACAAAAAATAAAGAAAAACAGGTGCTTGACTATACAGATTTTGATATACTCTTGCTACTTATATATTTCGATCTTAACAAGTTTTTTTAGATTTTCCTTTTTAAATTTCTGAATAGGTTTATTAGCATTAAGGCTAATTTTCCTAGAGAAACTTTTACCATATAATGTTACTTACCGCATTACGAAACCTATCATACCTTCTCGAAGAGCATACCGCTAAAATAAACAAAAAGAGAGAACATTCTTAAAATAA